GGTGAAAGCACCAGGGTGGCCCGCGAAATTCAAACTTCCTTACGTTATTTGCAATTTGCAGGTCAGTGTCAGGGTGTATGTTTAACAAAATATGATTCGAGAGCGTAACGAGTATGTATTTACAGAATTATAATCAGGAAATAGAGTGAATGTGGCTCTACACGCTATTATGAGGAGCCAGAATGTGTCAAATAAGGCACGTATGGCAATTCATAATGCTGTGTTAGTCCCTACTTTAATGTATGGTAGTGAAAATTGTGTCTGGCAGAAGTATGAGAGTAGAATAAATGCTGTAGAAATGCGGTCCTTAAGGAGTATGCTAGAGCTGAATCTGAATGACAGGGTGAGAAATAGTGTGATAAGAGAAGTGTGGTTTGCAAGATGACATTGTGACCAGGATTAAGAAAAGAATTCTTCGGTAGTTTGGTCATGTAGAAAGTATGAACGAGGAAAGAGTGACAAAGCAAATTGATGTTGCAGAAGTGAACGGCAGGGTCGGGAAGGGACGCCCTAGACGAAGGTTTATCGACCAAATCGGCGATACATTGAAAATGGGCCGTATTCGTAAATATATAGATGTGAGGGAGGCGAGTGAGGTGTGTCAGGATCGCGCCAAATGGAAGTCCATAGTCTCTGCCTACCCCTCTGGGCGACAGGCGTGTTTGTATGTATGTATGAAATAATCTTTAATAGGGAGGTTTAATCACAGAAAAAAAAAATACAAGTTTAATTAAATTATACGAAATCCACACTTGAAAAAAAATTGTATCTACTTTTAAATTCTTTTTTTAAGTTTGGAAATAAATAATAATCACTTGGGCCCAGGTCAGGACTATAGGGTGGGTGTGGCAAAATTTCGAAGCCCACTTTCCCCAGGGCAGCCATCGCAACATGACACTTGTGAACAGGCGCGTTGTCGTGCAGAAGAAGGATTCCTTTGGTCAATTTTCCCCTTCTTTTCTCCTTTATGGCTTCATTCAATTGTTCTAGTATTGAAGCGTAGTAGTTTCCGGTTATGGAGTCACCTTTATCTTTATAATTAATCAATAGAATTCCTTCTGAGTCCCAAAAGACTGTCGCCATGATTTTCCCAGTCGATTGTGCCACCTTAAGTTTCTTGGGTGGTGGTGAGCCTTTTTTGTGCCCCTGCATAGTCCTGTTTGGACTCAGGTTCATAATGGTGAACCCAAGTTTCGTCACCAGTAACAATTCGAGCCAACAATCCATCTTTCTCTTCCATACAGAGATACAATAATTTAAAATTTAAAATTTTGTACAGCCGACTTCAATATAAGTTATTTAAGAATAACTCAAAAACTATTGGTCTGACCTTGATCAAATTCATATGGAACCTCACGAGAACTATCAACTTTCATATAAAAAAAAGAATCATCGAAATCGGTTCAGCCAGTACAAAGTTATGAGGTAACACACATAAAAAAAAACATACAGTCGAAATGAGTACCGTCTTCTTTTTGGAAGTCGACAGAAAATGCAAGAGAACACTCCACGGTCCACGCGCTATTGCTTTTGAGGCGGCGTGAGCATTCTAGGCACCCATCTTGCGCTGACTTTATTCATGCCAAGATGGTCATGAAGAATTTTGAAAATGGTTGTATCTGATACTCCAACCATTTTTGCGAGCTGTTTTTTCTTTAAACGTGCATTTTCTAATATTCATTTTTCAACTTTTTGAATAATTTCCGAAGTGGTCACCTCGATCGGCCTTCCTAGCCGTGGGTCGTCTTCAAGTGACTCTCTGCCTTGTTTAAAAAGGGTATGCCACTTGTAAACTATAGTTTTACTTCGACAAGAGTCTCCGTAAACGGATGACATCTCTTCCAGTATAGTATGAACTGATTTTCCGCGCTTAGTAAGGAATAACGGCACGGAACTCGATTTTCTCCATATTTCACAATTTCTTCCCGATTGACTTGTTTGGTTGACGATAACTCAAAGACTAATGATTTAATTACAATAAAACCCGGTATTTATACTAATAATAAATTACTCAATTAACACGTAATTCAGCGACGTCCCCACTTATTACCTACCTACTACCCATTCCGCGAACTTAAAAACGCACCCTCTTAGTATAAGCAAGGAAGATCGTGTTGCTGAGAGGCTGCCCTGTGTTACATTGAGATAAGTAGTGATGCTGTTGGTTTGCTTACTTTGGTGTTATCATGTAATTGGGTCCTGATAGTAAGCAGCGTATGTTACCGAGTAGTGGTATGTTATTTAAATAAATTTGATCATCAGAAGTGGAATAGTTTCTTACAATGTAATATATATTGGTATAATCAAAAGAGAAACGAACAAGGCCAAGTCTCGCAAATCGGGCTATCAATTAAAAATTATTAATGAATAAAACTACTTTTACGGATTTTATCGCGTTTAATTATACTTATTTTTTAATTCCCTCCGTTTCGGGTTCTTTACAGAATACCCCATTGTGCACCGTAACCATAGGTGCTGTAAAGCACCACCATTAAAGAATAGGTATAATTAAACGCGATAAAATCCGTAAAAGTAGTTTTATTCAATGTGTAGTGTTTGCGTAAATATTAGAAATCATTATCAATGAAATTTTAAGCAAATCAGGCAGTTGCAAGTTATCAAGAAATATTTTTGTTCTGACAATGCATCAAATCGCAAATGGATAGTCAAACGACATATTGCAATATACATTACTAATATTTTTCTACAGACTTCAAAAAGGAGCCGGTACTCAAATCGACTGTATGTTTTTTTATGTGTGTGACCCCATAACTTTTTACTGGTTGAACCGATTTCGATGATTCTATTTTTATTTGAAAGCTGGTGCTTCACATGTGGCCCCATATAAATTTGATCAAGGTCCGACTAATAGTTTTTGAGTTATATTGAAGTCGGTTGTACAAAATTTTAAATTATTCTTTAGCCACTCCTAGTAAGCTCAAAATGCTTACGTTAGGTTAACAAAATGTTAGGTAGTTCACGACATTAGTCGAATGGCGGCTTCGAACCTACGACCTTTTGAGTTTACGGTCCCCTGCTGTTAGACTACTGTCACTTCAAAATTTTAAAATATTTAACGCGAATGGAATGTTCAAAAACAAATTTCAGTTTGTAAAAATGTCATATACAGACACTAATATAATAACGCGATGAAGATTGTTTTTATGAACTAGTACTATATATTTAGGACAGTAAATTGTTAGAAAGAAGCCGTTATTCTGGATGCGGAACTTTAAACAATAGAGACATTCTTGGTGCCTCCAGTTTGTTATTGAGCGGGTTACTCATTCAAGATGTGCAAGATTATAAACATTTTGTTAGGACTGCATTAGAGGATTTTGAAATATGATTGACGAAAGTTGGGCCAATCATTAATATAATGGAAACAAACTCCAGGCAGTCTGTTCCTGCTAAAGATAAATAATTAGTCATTACCTTGTGATACTTAGCATCTGAAGGTACATATACTTCCTTATGTATTAATGCAGAACATCAAAAACCAAAATAAGTGAATGCATACATGATGTTAGTAAACTTTAATTGTTCAATTTCTTGCAAAGAGAATGTAAAAGTAAATGAAACAACTAAATTTTAAATAATTTCATTATAATAAACATCACTTTCAATTTCAACCTATTATTATTTATCATATTACAATAAAACAATTGCTATTTATCAAACTTGCAACGAATATACTATTCGGCCACGCTTCGAAGATGGAATATTCTGTGGACTTGCTGGCCGAATATTAGGCTTAAGTATTCGGCCGGGAAGGGAGTAGTGTTTATTCTTAAAAGCGTCTATTCTCTAAAGCTGGGATTATCTACAAGAAGAAAAAGAGTAACCTACTGCCTGAAAATGAAGAAAAATTTGTCTTTCTACACAATCATCTTCCACTTTAATTATGATAATTCGAGTGCATAGACTTTATCTCATATTTTCTTTAAATTTTTATACTATGGAAGTTAATTATGTACCAATGACTACATTAAAGATTACAAGAGAAAAAATCAATTATAAAATAAATAAATATTTTCATTTCACCAATTATCAGTCCGAATAGAATAAAAGTAGCCGAATAGACCGAATAACGAAAAACTGCCGAATATTCGTTGCAAGTCTACTATTTACCAATTTAAAAAAATCACAGCCTTTAACTTTTGGTTTTGTGCGAATATAATAAATAATTCATCATCATCATCATCATTACAACCCTTCACAAGTCACCTGCTGAACACAGGCCTCCCTCAAGGCATGTCACAAAGCACGGTCCCGAGCCACCCGCACCCATCGACTTTGTAGTGGGGGTCCGCCTAACATTGTCTACCATTACAAGGCTGCCACTTGAAAATATTTCTTTCCTATAGGTCTATCATGCAGAGAAACACCAAGCATAACCCTCTCCATAGATCGCTAAGCGACCTTGAGCTGCCTTATGTGGCCAGCAGTGCAAGATCACGTCTCAGATCCATAAGTCATAACTGGCAACATGCATTGGTTGTACAATTTTGTTTTCAAGTTTTGAGATATGAACGAGAAGATTTGTCTTTTGTAATAAACAATTATTACAAAGAATATTCATAACTTTCTGCTTATATAACAATCAACTTTTTTTCATAGAAACAACAGCATTTTATAAATATAAACAGAAGTTCTCAGATAATCCTTAATGCCAATTACAGGTTCTTATTTTATATACAAAATATACATACTATCATTTGTTAATGGACAAATTAATGATATTAATTATATAGTGCTTAGATTTTTAAAAGTTATCTTAAAAATAAGTTTAAGCTTTTGCCTGTTTTATACAGGCAATAAGCAAAGAAAAAAAAAGAATATTACGCAACAATACTGTTTCACTATACAATTAATAATTAAAAAGTTACAGCTACTTATTAAGCTGTTATGCCAAAGTAGTATTATTGTAAATATTACAAGTTGTACCCTGCACTTGTAGTTATTGAACCGGTATCTTCAATTAATTGGTCTTTTCAACTTCAATCCTCTTCAAAGTGAGGTTGAGATATAATATTTTCGGGCTCCAAAATTCTGTACTTTGTTTCAAATATTAGGTCCATTATTTCTTTTTTTAGAATTAACAATTCTCTTCTATCTTTTATGTCTCTTAATTCACTTGCTACTGTTTCTCCAAAAATAGAAAAGCTGTCTTTTTTTTGCCTATCAATAATAGCATTTGATGCACCTTTTAACAAATTGAATGTGCCAAACTGAGTATTATATTTTCTTTTTAAAGTGCATCTGGGCTGAGATTGCCTTTGAGAGAAAGATAAAATAGGCTCTTTTCTATTTGCATTTTCAACGGTAATACCTTCATCTAGCTTATTTTCAGTCTGAGTTATCTGGAAGCAAAAATTGTTTATTTTGTATTTTAGATGCATACAAGTACAATTAATGTCAATAAATTGTAAATTATTTTGAAAAAAACTGGAATATTCCTTAGTATTATTATTATATACAGAGTGCACCCAGCACTGGGGGAAGAACATGTAGAAATAATAAAAACTGCTAACAGTGGTAGTGAATACCTTAATTATAAAAAAAAAACAGTATTGCATTTTTGGATCTGGTAAACATGCACTACAAATTTATTTATGATGTAGTACAAATTTTGTGTAAGTTATTAAAAAGCATTAATTTAAATATTCCATTACTGAAATCATTATCTGTTTGTCTAACACTACTACATATTGTAGTTGTTTACCACAACAACACTGCCCATATGTTATTATAGCTGATGATACATGTGCTTTAAGTAAAAATTTACTCCAACCATTTCCTGGCAGGTATGCATAAATAGTTGCAGTTTGCAATTAAAGATTACTCACTAATTAAGATGGATTTATTATATTTTTTTTTATAGAATAAGGGTGTGCACTAAAATGCCTAATTTCCAGTAAAAATTATCTCCAGTTCTCCACACTCAATATACAAAACACAACAGCATTAAGCTGCTATTTTATTCTAGTATTCTATGAGGATGCTTCCCTGGTCGAGCTGACTCATTTGTGCTACAACCATAATATAGTTGCAGGTGGATCTACTACGTTTAAAACTTAAGATCTACAAACAACATCCAATATTATTTTGTAAATTAATAAATTATAAGAACTCTGCATGTCCAGGAACATAAGAACGTACACAAATACTCAAAAACATCTAAAGTAATTATAAAACAAGGACAAGTTGTATACTGATGAATTATAAAACTCTACTTACCAATAATGAATTTGTTCTAGGCTGTGGTCCATTAACATCCTTCAAAAAATGGAGATACTCAAAAGCATACCAATTAGAATGAGTTATCCCATCTAGTCCAGCTCTATACTTTGTTTTTAACTTATTTAATTCTCTTTTATATTGGGTCTTTAAAGATAAAATCTTCTTCTCAACCGCATTACCGCTTACATTCATTTGATGCGCCAAATTTAAAAAAGCAGTACGACGCTTTTGCCTGTTTTTATAAGCACTTATTTTCTTATTCCATAAACATGGATACCTTTGCCAGAGCTCGATAAATTTTAACGTATTTGTTTTTGTCCATTCCATGTTAAGCAACTATAAAGCTAAGCAATTATAATTTGGATAAATAACAATAAACACAACACAAACTTCAAATTTCTTTTAACTGGCTTTACGGCTCTGGGTTCCAGCCCTTCTGAGCCTGTACAAGCTTTAAAACTAATAGCGCGACCATAGATAAATAGATATGTAGCAAGCTACGCGAGACATAAAAAATAACATGTGAAACTACGAGTCACAGAGTACTTTTTATAATTTATAAACCCCTGCGACCTGCGACTGCGAGTGCGAAAGCTGACGTTGACAGAGTGTGTGACATCTATGATCTATGATTTTAACGTCGATGTTGACACATGTCAAACATTGAAACATCGATGTCAATGAACCCATAATCGATTATTGGGAATTTGAGAAAATTATTGGGAAATGCGAACCCGCGAAATCAATATCTACTAAATCTTGCATCTCCTCTGAAAATTTAAAAATTTAAATAATTCAGAATTCCTGAACGCATCGCTAACCTAAAAAAATATCATTATGGTGTGTCAAACTTAATTGTTAACTTGTGTCACCTGTAATGTCACAGTGGTCACTGCTTTCGCTTTATTTTGTAGTATCGATGTCAGTTGTCACATAATAACTATTCTACTAAATTGATATTCAAGTTAATTTTTACTTTTCCCTTGCTGTGAATACCCACATAATTTTGAAACAATATGTAAGTATCTACATATATACAAAAAACATCGATAATGGTCAACATCGATGTTTTGAGTAGGCTAAACATCGAACACCGATGTTGAGCTATCGATTCCAACATAGATGTCATCATCGATGTTTCTGGAACATCTACCTACCATCCCTATGACAGAGCTAAGCGTACGTACAGACAGAGTATCCACTTAATAGTCTGTGGAGTGGCACCTACTACACACTCGATAATTATCACGATATTTAACGTGATTTTTATCTTGCAATATTTTGGATCGAATCTAGATACAACACACTCGATACTAATCGCGTCAGTACAAATGAAGATTTCATTCACTAAAGACGTGTACGTTACATAATCCAAAGCCAGTAACGTAATGAGTGACTATAAAAGTTAAGCTTGCGTTGCTATTATATTAGCGATAGCATTAAAAAGACAAGCAAAGAGAAAACAATGGATGAAGCATTGGCTTCAAGACAGAGATCAATATACACACCTGCAGGGCTATTCACAATCGTCTCGGAAAGCGAAATCGACTCGGATTCGATAACTTCTCGCACCGAAACCAATAAACGCTATTAACATTTAACGTTCGGATAAAGGTCACTTAGTTAAATCCTATAACTATTGTATCGTCATTTAGTTACATGCATTTACGAATTCTGTAGATAAATAGGCTTTTGTATTTTTTTAGAGTAACGCCTGAACAAAAACATAATGCAATATTTTGGAGTTAGCCATTGATATCGAATATAAAAAATATATAATTTAACTATATAATAAATAACAAAAAAACTGAGATATGTCTCGTTTCTGTCGGGTCTGGGTTTTTTTCTATGGGGCGTGACCGTACTTCTTTGACGTTTGTTTTCGATAATTGTGACAGTTTGCATCGGAAACTTTACGAGAGCTCTGAGGCTGGCGAAAACTTTTCGAATATTGATGATTAGAAGAGATAAATAAACCCTTTTAATTATAAGGTAGGTAACAAAAATTAATTACAATTATCTATAAGACGTATTTTCATATAATTACTTCAATATTTGCACTTAATCGTAAAGCTGAATTTTTGTGAAAGGTGTGTTTTTATAAGTTTTCTATCACTAATATATATATATATATATATATATATATATATATATATATATATATGCTGCTTTGTGAAACGAGACATATCTCAGTTTTTTGTTATTATTATATAGTTAAATTATATATTTTTTATATTCGATATCAATGGCTAACACCAAAATATTGCATTATGTTTTTGTTTAGGCGTTACTCTAAAAAAATACAAAAGCCTATTTATCTACAAAATTCGTAAATGCATGTAACTAAATGACTATACAATAGTTATGGGATGTATCTAAGTGACCTTTATCCGAACGTTAAATGTGAATAGCGTTTATTGGTTTCGGTGCGAGAAGTTATCGAATCCGAGTCGAATTCGCTTTTCGAGACGATTGTGAATAGCCCGGCTGAATTTATTAAATCAGATTCATGAATACCAGGAAATGGATGATTATGAAAATTATTTTCGCGTGTCCAGTGCTTGCTTTGAACATCTGCTGGAGTTAATTACGCCATACTTGATTAAACAAGATACAGTAATGAGAAAGGCTATTACTGTGAGAGAAAAGCTAACTCTGACATTACATTATCTATCAACTGGAAGATATTTTAAAAACATGAGATTTTTCAATTTTTTTCTATAGTTAGATTTTAAGGAGTTAATTTTTGCTATTACGTCCTTAGTCGTTGCGGCCGGTTTAATTTTCTTATAAATTTCAAGCAGCTGCTCATAAGCATTTGATCTTTTCACTTTATTCAAACTGTTTGCTTTTGAGCTATCCCACACCTCAGATAGTGTTTCTAACACAAGTATAAAGTCTTTCAAGTTTTTTTTGGTCATTCGTTTGAGGTACGGCTGGCGCCACCGTCGCATCAAGAAGCGCGTCCTCCTCCATCGCTGACAGAATACTGACACGATAAATATCGACCAGAGACTAGACACTCGATATTTATCGACGATACTTGATACAGATCGTTGGATTTCTGGATTTTTAGAAATCCAGCGATCCGTATCACGATCCAAGATATGCTATACTACACACTCGATAAATATCGTAATCTTAGATTACGATCCAAATATCGTGATAATTATCTAGTGTGTAGTAGGCGCCAGTAGATAACACATAATATTGCCAACTTTGTAGATTTTCCACTAAAACTGGTGGTTCTGACTTTCTTTTTAGTGAAGAAATCTTACTTTTAGTAGCTGGTAGTTTTTTCTAGTGGTTCAGTAGAATTAAGTTTTGATTAGTGGAAAGATGGTCGCTCAACTATTAAGTCACTTACAAGTTTCGAAATATATATTTACGTGAATTTACTTTTACTGTCTGCAAAAATGATTAATCGGACATGAAGTGCGTCAGACGATCCATATAATAAATCTATATAGTACACTGTTTCACAATATGTTAATATGTCACATTGCGTAGTTTTAGGGAGATTTTCACAAACCATTATTTAAACAATAATAAAGGAGCAGCAATCCGCCGCCGGTCAAGTTCCCACCAAAAACCTTGTGTCCAAAGTTTTATTGTTTTGTTTGTGCGAACACAGATAACAAATCATGATATCTGTTGAAAGTTTTTGCGGGTTTTGCGAGTGCGAACGCAAATATTAACAAAACATGTTGTGTGACTTTTATACGCGTTTCGAAACATTACAATTTGGATGTTTTTTGGTGCAAGCTAATGGTTATTAGGCAACAACTGACGCACAATATGTCTCGAAATATTGCATGACAACAACGCGAAACTTTTATTTTGCAACGTTGTCTGTTAAAAGAAGAATCAGTCGTCGAAAATATGTTATCTGAAGGGCTCGTGTCGATTTCAGCTGAATAATAATTTTATTGATTAAATAAAACTAACGTGGGTTAAAAATGACAGAAAAGAAGATTTGTTTAGTAAGCTCCGTATCTGTAGTGTTTTTATCCAGATGAGTACAAATCGGTATTTCTTGGCAAAAACGTAAATTAAAAATTATTCCATAAGTAAAATCCAATAATATTAGATTTTGCTAATGTTTTTGTCAACGATACTCTATAGGTACCACTTTTCTATATTACGTTGTCGCAATTTTCGGCATGTTTCTTAATTCGTCTCAGAAGTGTTAGCAGTCTCCTTAAATATTCTAATGAAATAGGCTTCTCCTAAGAAATGCCATAAAGCACGGTCATGAGCCACATCACACATCACATCAGCCACGTACATCGACTTCCTGCATATATTAATAGGTCGTCACTCCGTTTAGTTGGGGTGTAGTGTTATGTTACTTACATATCATTTTACACTATTTTAAATTCATTTTTCCATTCTGTTTTGATTTTCTGCATTCACCTCAAAACTGGATATTTTGTATCACCTTTATTTCTATAGGATCCTGTAACGTTTTTAAACCATAAGAACATAATAACAAATCATTTTCACTTCGTATCTTCACGCTATCAGCATTTTTTAATTTGGTGTCGATGGAGTCTACCTTTTTCGATCTTTTATTTAGTTCTCCGTAACTCTGCAATTTCGGGCTTTGTGCACGCCGGTGCGCTACCTTTTTTCCTATAGCAATAATATCTCATTTTTCACTTAAATCTTGCCGTTTCTCTATTACGAGCCTAAAACCAAAATTTGACATGTTTTGACATCGTTGTTTATCTGGTTGTCATGGCAATTTTTATTCAAATTCGCTACCGGTCTGTTGTTTCTACTTCGATAATTCCACATAAATACTCTTTCCTCTTGGCCATTTACAAAAAATTTGCTTTCAATTTAAATAATTTTCCGCTCTCTCTAAAAAGGTATAAAAGCCGAACAATCGGTCAAGAAAGTCAGTCTCGCTTCAGTTCTCAAATTCGAAGCATCTCCTAAAGGCCTTATTCCGGGGCCGCACTGCCCCGGGATCCTGCAAGCGTCTGTCCCGCCTGAAGCCGCTGGATCCTACAAGCCCCTGCTCTGCCTGAAGTCGCCGAATCCTGCACGCCTCTGCTCTGCCTGAAGTCGCCGGATCCTACAAGCCTCTGTCCTGCCTGAAGTCGCCGGATCCTGCAAGCCTCTGTACCGCCTGACGTCGCCGGATCCTGCAAGCCTCTGTCCTGCCTGAAGTCGCTGAAGATCCT